CAAGATGAGGCCAAGGTCCTCAGATATATGCAAAGGGAACTCTTGCTGGGGCTCAAGGCTGTGTTGTTGAGGTAGGTGGAGGACCAGCTGTGGGGGAAGAAGGTGTGGACAATGCATGAACTTAGATTTGTCTGGCCTCACCCAGTCCCCAGCTTGTTGTCTCATCTCTATCTTAGTTGCTATTGACTCCCTGACTGATCCTTCTACTGTCTTGTCTGGCTTCTCTTGCCATGCCTTCCTGTAGCTGATCCTGGACATGCCCTTTTTCCTGCAGCACTACCAGATGCCTCCAAGGTTTGCAGCCTTGCTCACACTCTCTCGTATCAAGCCTCTGGCTTTACTTTGGCATTGACAACTTCATGTCCTGTCACAAGGCTGACGGAGGGCTGAGGGGCTCAGGAACATGGATGGGGGGAACTAGGAGAAGCATTTTACAATTTACTAGGATTTAAGCATCACATCTCATTTCTCCAACCAACTCCCCAAACAGAGGAGGGCTGGAAATAGGGATACCAGGAAAATATTAACAAGTAAGCAATGCTTAGAAGCAAAGAAGGAAACTACCTATACTGAGTGGCTACTTTGAGTCAGGCATCATGCTAGATGTTTCATATAGTAATGCGTGACTTTATTTAATTCTCTGAAATATTACTTTCTATTTCAAAATAGGTATTACAACTCCCATTACACAGATGAGGATATTGAAGCTTAAAAACATTAAGTGCCCATACCATCACTTCCTCAGCCATTTCCTGTAAGAATGAGGGGTGCAATGGGAAGAATAGGCACTGTGGAGCTGGCCAGTCCTGACTTTGTCACTCCTTAGCTGTATGAGATTTGATGAGTTACCTTGCCTTCCTGAGTCTGTTTCTTCACTTGCAAAACGGGACATACGGATGATTTTTTACATGAGATGGCATGTGTTGAGCACCCAGCACCGTTGAATGTGAGTTGCTCCCTTTGTAGTCCTTTAATCCCCCTGGGCCTGGCCCAAGTTCTCCAAAGTCTCCACCGACAACTCATGGGGTGAGCCAGTTCTTGGAAGAAAGGGAAGATCACCTCCCACTTCCTGCATATTATATTCCTGCTTATGCATTCTGATGTCCTGCTTGCTTTTTTAGGCTCTAAGTGCTATCCTGCTGACTCACTTCCGACTTCTCGTTCATCATGCTCAGCTCCTGAAAATGGAACGGAATGGAAAAAGCCGGAAATTGTACTGTCTGGTGCTGTGTTTAAGGGGACAGCCACCCCACGTGGATGGAATGCTGGGGACATGAACTGAGCTGTGCCCAAAATGTGTTTCTCAGCTGACTCTTGGGATACTTTGCCTTGGATTGTAATACCTGTACTAATAATAACCATCCCAGTTAACTGCCACTAATGGGGAGCTAGCAGGCCCCAGGCTATGTGCTTTCCATGGATTGTCTCTTTGAATCATCACAACTGCAGAAGTGGGGGATGCTTTCTATTTTACTGACAAGTAAATTCCCATTAAAATAGGTTAAGAAACTTGCCAGTGGTCACACAGCTAGTAAGGGGCAGAGCTAAAATTCAAACCCATGATCCAGATCTGTGCTGTTTACTATGAAGCTACTAGCCACATGTGGCTAATGAGTATTGAAATGTGGCTAGTGACTGAGGAAATTGTATTTTTAATTCAATTGAGATGTGCTGTATGTAAATACAAAATACAAACCAGATTTCAAAGACTTAGCATCAAAAACCATATATATAATATCTTTTTATATTGATTATATGTTAAAATGACAATATTTATATATATTGAGTTAAATAAAATATGTCAAAATACTTCTACCAATTTCCTTCAACTTTTTAATGTGACTACTAGAACACAAAATTTCCTATATAGCTGTCATATATCTCTAGGACAGCACTGATCAAAACCATGAACATTAATTACATGGTCGCTAGACCAATGACTTCCCAATATTTTTGAGAAATTTTTTTGAGCACAACTCCTCAGTTTGTGAATTTCTATTTATTTATAAATTCCATATATGTATACTACTCTATAACATTGTGTACATTATAAAACACCAACAAAATTAATATTTTAAGAAGATAAAATAAAAAATACAAAGCATTGTATTAACTAATTTCTTCCAGGAGCCTCACTTTGCATACCCACTAGAGTGTGCAGACAACATTTTGGAAATTCCTGCTCCAGACAGACTTAGAACTCCTGGGTGCAGAGACTTTAATACAGAGGGTCCCCAACTTTGGCTTATGCTTTTTTAACTTTATGATGGTGCAAAAGTGATATTTATTCAGTAGAAACTACTTTGAGTACCCATGCGGCATTCTGTTTTTTACTTTAAGTACAGTATTCAACAAATTACATGAGCTATTCAACACTATATTATAAAATAGGCTTTGTTTTAGATGATTTTGCCCAACTGTAAGCTAATGTAAGTGTTCTGAGAATGTTAAGGTAGGCTAATCTATGCTGTTCAGTAGGTCAGGTGTAGTAAATGCATTTTCAACTTATGATATTTTCAATTAATGATGGATTTATCCAGATGTAACACCATCGTGACTAAAAGAACATCTGTACATGTATCCCCCTCCCACATAGTTGAAGCTAGCACCATGACTAGATTTTATTGGTGCTCAATAAATGTTTGTGGAAGGAATAAATAACCCTTAATATTCAATCATTTATCTGGCAGATTAGATTAATTTATTTATTTCACATGTACTGATCACTTTTTATGTGCTAGTACTATACTAAGTCCTGAAAAATAAACAGACTTTAAGAAGACTAAGTCCCTTTCTCCTATGTCAGTGCTTCTCAGACTTCAGTGTGTTTAAGAATCACCTAGAAGCCTTGTTAAACAGATTCCTTCTCCCCCCACCCCTATTCTGATTCAGTAGTTCTGGGGTGGATCCAGATAATTTGCATGTCGAAGAGGCTTCTAGGAAACTAAGCTTTGGAGGAGATTGATGTGCACTGGAGAATTGGAAAGGCATCCCAAATATTATGTGAAGGTGAGGGTAGAAGAGAACCAACATATATTGAAGTTTTACTATTTGTCAAGCACTTATGAATACCACCTCATTTACTCCTCATATCAACCTGATGAGGCACATATTATTATATAAGTTGAGGCAACTGAAACTGAGAAAGGTTACATTGCCTAAGTTATGGAGTTAGTAAATGGCAGAGCTTGGGTTTGTACCCACTTTCCTGCACTCAGGAACTCATGAAGATCTGCAATATCTTCTCCTTTTCCAGGCACTGTCCTAGGAACCAGGCATATTGAATGAGATAGGCAAGCTCACTGTCTTGCTCAAATTTAATAAGCAATTAAAATATAGAGTTCTCAGTGATATGAAGAAGGCAGTGCCATGAAGACATATAACAGAAACTCATACTCTAGAACAGAATTGGTGCATGGAAGACCTGAAGAATGAATTAGAGGAGTGAAGGTGGATGAGAAGTGTTTTGGGCTGAAGATATGCATGAAGGCTTAGAGGCGACAAAGTATTCAAGGAACTGCAATAAGTTGAGAATATCTGAAGTATAGAGGATGGAGATGAGAGATAAACTCCTCGAGGTAGGTGGGAACCAGATCTGCCAGGCCATTTAGGCTTATTGACTTTATTCAAGGGTAGGGGCATGGTCAGACTTGTTTTTGTAAAAGTTTACTATGCCCTTAGCGGAGGATAGATTAAAGGAGAGCTGGCCCAATAGGCAGGGAGATTCATTAAAGATGCTAATTGTGTAAATTTGGGTAATGCTGTGGTGACCGGGGAGAAGTGGGGGTGAAAGGTGTTTAAAAATGTTTAAGACTTGATGATTGGAAGGGGAAGAGTGGACAGGCAAAGGAGGAATCAAAGATGACAGTACACAGTTTTAGTAGGGGTAAGGTTCTGTAAATTTATTATTTCACATTTTAAAATAAGAGTTAAATCAGACAAGTGAAGTGCGAAAGAAAGATATTTAGTAAGATTTCAATGACTGAAACTTAATTAGAAAACATGGGAGACAATTACTGTTTCTGTGGTTAAATTTACTTTTTTTGTTGTTTTAATGTGCATCGACAACTTTATCATCTGTTGAGAGCGGAGTTTTGAATGTTGGAAATTACTCCTCTTTTTGCCAAGACCAGGATAAACCATGGAGAACCAGCCGCAGGCTATGAACTGTTAGTCTACTGAGTTTCTTCTGTGACTGTCTTCTTAGTAAGTAACCTTGGACCTTGAGTTTCTGAACCTCAACGTTCCCTTTTTCTCCCCTTATCTTGTCATACTTCACGCTTTAAAAGCGGTAGTACAGGGCTCCTATCAATTAACCAGAGATGGTTTGAACTCCGCCTTCTTTATCCAGGTCCCGCCCACTTTAAAGACCACACCCCTTTCATTCGGTCCCGCCCCTTGAAGAGGTCGTCTCTGATATGACAGCGAATTCTCCATAATCCTGCCCCATAGGACATTTAAAGGGCGGGACCTAGATCAATCTTTTTTTCCATTTGTTAAAGAAAGTGTCTATCTGGCTTCAGTTCCGCCCACTTCATCTTCAACCCAAGGATTGGTTGCGCTGTTCTTTGTTTCCGGCTCATGATTGGTTCTTTCATTCCGCCCCTCTCTTCCAGCTTTTGCAGGCGGGATTAGCACGCAGCTTCCTGCTCCTGCCAAAAAAAATAAAAGAAGAAAAAGAAAAGAGGAGAGAGGCGAAAGAAAAATGTCACGAAGATCTTTTGGTTTTAATTGGCTTTCAATCTTGTCGGTCAGGTCGAACTCTGCCTTTTGATTGGCTTTTCTATCTGCCCATCCTGGTTAGGGGGCGGGATTTCCCCAGGAGACCCTCACCTGGTTGCCACTGGCCGAACAGTGCGCCTGTCTGAAGCTCCCGGCCCAGGATTGGAGGCGGACGCGGACAGGTGGGCGTGGATTGGCTAGGGCAGCCGGTCAGTGTGAGGCGGGGGCGGGGCCTCGGCGGCTGGTTGCGCGTGTCCGCCGCTGGCTCCGCTCTATCCGGCTTTGCTAGGGGAGGTGAGTCCGGCCGCGGCGGCACCGGCGGCTGAGGAGGCGGCGGCTGAGGAGAAAGCGGCCGCGGCGGCTGAGGAGAAAGCGGCCGCGGGGACTGAAGCCGGGTGGGGGGGAGGGGGGGGAGACGGAGCAGCCTTGAGCCCTGCGGGGGCCGTCGCGCGGGGGGACCCACCCGCTCTCCCCCCCAACCCTCCTCAGCAGAAGCAGCCGGCGGCGGGGGCAGGAGTCAGCCCGCTTCCGACCGTACCCCGCCCGCCTCCCGGGGCTCCTATTCCTTGGCCCCGGGACCCTAACCTTCTCCCGGGGCGGTTCCCTCTGTCTGGGCGTCCGAGTGCTGCCCACCCCTCTTTCATTCCTCCCTGCACCTCCTTACCGTCACTTTTGCCCCGGTTATCTTTCTCCTCTCTGTCCTGCCTGTCGCCTCCTCTCCTCACTCTAGGCTCCTTCCCTGGCTCATTCCGCCCAGGAAAGTTTAGTACCCCCCGCCCCGCCCTCCAAATCAGGTCAACCTGACTAGGAGTCGGGGGAGATGTAGGAAGGCCTGAGAGTTGGAGGGGGGGGAAGTTGGAAGCTGGTTTCCCTGAAAATTTCCCCCCATCTTTTCAATTTAGTGTGGTTGGAATTTTAAAAATTGTGTTTTTGAGGAGGTGGTAGGTGTTTAGAAAAGGATGTGGGAATGGAAGGGGTAGATGAGTCAACCCTCTTACAAGATTCCAAGGGTGGTGTGTTACCTGATCCTTTTCGTGTGTGGAGTTCAGGGGGTCGGGAGGTTTGGTCTTTATTCCCACATTCAAAGTTGGAACCTCCCCCAAATTAAGAATGGAGTTTTAGTACCCACTTGTGGCAGGAATCCTGGGGGGAAGGGGTCCTTTTTTCCTTTTTCTTTTCTTTTTCGTTTTTCTTTTTTTTTTTTTTTTCCTTTTTTTGGCAACCTACACCCTTCCACACACGCTCACCCCAAAATTAAACACCAAGATCCTCTAAGTTGTTTGAATTGACTGATGAAGACATAAAGCCAGTTACGCTCTATGTTTTTCGAGGTGGAGTGAGTGGTTTTTCTTCATTTTTAAATGGCCAAATGACAGCTTGACCCAGTTTGCTTTCCAATCAAAGGGCATTTTTTTGAATGTCTCTTTGTGGCGCAAGAGCCAATGCAAAAATGATGGCGGCTTACAATGGCGGTACATCTGCAGCAGCAGCAGGTCACCACCACCACCATCACCACCACCTTCCACATCTCCCTCCTCCTCACCTTCACCACCACCACCACCCTCAACACCATCTTCATCCGGGGTCGGCTGCTGCTGTACACCCCGTACAGCAGCATACCTCTTCGGCAGCTGCCGCAGCCGCAGCAGCGGCTGCAGCTGCAGCCATGTTAAACCCTGGGCAACAACAGCCATATTTCCCATCACCGGCACCGGGTCAGGCTCCTGGACCAGCTGCAGCAGCCCCAGCTCAGGTACAGGCTGCCGCAGCTGCTACAGTTAAGGCGCACCATCATCAGCACTCGCATCATCCACAACAGCAGCTGGATATTGAGCCGGATAGACCTATTGGATATGGAGCCTTTGGTGTTGTCTGGTGAGTATCAAAGGAAAAACACAACTTCTCATGGTTTCTCCTCATGGTTGTGATTGGGTGAGTCAACCCTTAGGGTTTTCTCCATGTTGACCAAAGTGGAGCAAGCTCCTCAGCTCAACTGTAGGAAGCCACTCTCACTTAGTTGATAAAGAGGCCTAACGTGTTGGCTGTGTAGGCTTGGTAAAGCACCTTCTCATGAGTAACACACATAAGTTTGCTGTCTACCAAACTTTCCTGTTGAGAACCTAAGCAAGCCACTGAATGTAGGATCAATAGATGTATGTATGAAATACTCATCTCCTGCAAAGACCTTGGTCATCTCTCATATGTTTTGATTTAGTTTGGATCATTTGCTCGGTTGCATTAAATGTCAATGACTGACTCAACCTGGATTCCTTTATAGTAGTGTTGTCATTAGGATATACTTTACATAACTACTTTCCTATCCTTTCTGTCTTTTCACTCCTTATTTCATGATCTTGATCCTCAGAAGAATGGCAGAGCTCATTGCTTGAGTGGTTTATTTTAAACTGTAAAGCTACAGTTGGGAAGTATGTAGCTTTAGCCTTTTGATAAGAATGTATTAAATATAGCATCACACATGAGTACCACAAATGAGGTTAGTAGACTAGCTATGCAGTGGCCCACATTCGGTGTAATGTTTTAGTGTCATTTAGTGCCTCTTAAGTTACTATTATACCTTGGTCAGTTGCTGTAGTAGGAAGTATACTTTTTAAACAAATGAAACTGCTTTACTTTTGCTAGGATATTTTAAAAAGTCTAAGAGTTTCTTGAGTGTAACATTTTGGTTTATTTACCCTTTTTAGGAAGATTAGTAGTTTATAATAGAATATATTTATTCCTATCAAAACTACAGTGAACTGAGTTTTTTTTTTTTTTCAAGGATTAAGAATTCCAGTGTGGATAGATGAATTGATATTTTCAGTGCTTCCCAAAATAGATTCTTGTTAATGTCTAGAAAAGCCCTCGTTAGCACAGGAAAATGAACTCTTGCAAATAGCCTGGTAAATATCTCCTTTTGTCATTGTTTTTGAGGCTAAAATTGATATGAATATCATTTTTGCATTATAACTGGCCGTCTTTATATTTCAGATTTTATAATCTAGGCTACTGAGTGATCTGATCCTTTAAAAAAAAAAATTAGTAGACTCCTGTGTTTTCTCCCTAGTCTCCAAGGAGGTTGCTGCTGTAGCGGTCCCTTCTCCAAGGTGTGTAGGATTCCAGGTGGGAAAGAGTAGCTGGTAATGGTGCCTCCCAGTCACTCTGCTCAGGGACCTGCTGGTTCCTGCCTGCCTTTCTTCTCTTCCATAGCCTATCCTCAGAGATTTCGCTGTGAACTTCCAATCCTTGCCTGACCCTTGAGAATTTCCAAGTTTCTGTTAGGGGCTGAGGGGAGGGGGTACAGCAGTGGCACAGGCAGACAGGGAAAAGGTTGCTCCTTTACATATTGTCATTGATTTACTATAATAACTTTTAGAATTTGGATTTTCTTAGAACTGGATGCTTGCTTTCTTTTCAGTGCTTTGCATACCATGCAAAGAACTAGGGATACTTAAAGGGAAATGAGTTGCAGCATTCTTGAATATATTCTAAAGGCATTATTCACTTGCATTTCTATCAAAAGGTGATGTGTCTTGTAGAAGTTTTAACTTCAAGTTGGTAAGGGAAAAGATTTTTTTAAAAAGGGAGGGGCAGTAAAGAACTGAAGTGCTGAAACATCTCATAAAGCAAATATTCTGCTAGTGGCTACTATGAATCACTGCTGTCTGAAAATCCAAATATGTTTGATTTGAATCCATTCTAGAGTCTACCACCTATGAAGTTTGTACCATATACTTGCAGTACTCCTTTGTTCATCGTCTTATTTCATGTTTGCCTTGTCTCACTGACTATATTTGTAAGCCCCTTGAGGGTAAGGACTGTCTTCTGTAGTACTTCTTTTTCTCACTAGTACCTAACACAGTAAGATAGCATCTTTACTGCTTGGTTAATTGATCTCATAAACAGATCCTTCTTTGTTTTGCCTTAAACAACAGAAATTTATTTCTCACAGTTCTGGAGGCTAGAAATCCAAGATCAAGGTGCAGGCTTGATTTCTTCTGAGGCCTTTTCCTTGGCTTGTAGATGATCACCCTCTCAACTGTGTCCTCACTTGGTTCCGTTCTTGTTTGTTTCTTTAACCAAGTTTTCTAGTAAGCTGCATTGATGTATTTTTATCAGCTGTTACAGGTGAAATTGGTGTGAAAAAAAGGGAAGAGTTCCAGGTGTATGTTTTAGTATACAAATACTTTTCTATTTTTCTATTCACATATCGATGACTTGCTGTCTGAATTGCTTATTATATATGAAATTTATCTGCTCTATGATCTAAGTAAGATTGTTAAATCTAGAGATTTGAAAACCAGACTGAATTGCATTTGTAGTCTGATACCCAAGTTAAAGATATTAGTGAGGTTTTGTACTTTTTAACTAACTGAAACCAATTTTTCTTTGTAATTTAGAAAGCACCTTATGAATCTGAAACTACTATATTCTAAAATGATTAAAATGTTACATAAAAATATTCTTCTAGTGATGCATCATTTGATTCAAAGTACCATATAACTACCTGGATAATATAAGATTCACTTAGATTCAAACATATATCCATTTAAAGTATTTTTCAAGTATTCTTCTGGCATAGCATATGACAAGGAACAATATCTGCCTCCATTTCTTTTTCTGGACATACATCCAGTGGTACTAACTAATGGCTAAAAAAGCAGCATGTAATTTTGAGAGAAATTGTTCTTCCTCCACATAGACAAGGAGAGAGATTTGTAGAAGTGATGCAGCATTTTACTAGATTTATCACTGAACAGTTTAGTAGTCTCTACTTGACTATCTTTTTGCTGAATTTAACTAGTGGAATAATGTATCAGTATTGGACAGTTGTGTAAGACTAGTGAATCACCCATTAGCTTGTTGGTAAAGGTGGTGCTTTGACAGTTCAATTAAGGTTTCATTAACAACTGTCTGCTGTGCTTTATCTCAAAGTAAGTGTTCCAGTTTACCTGGTAATGTGATTGTGAGGTAGCCTGAGATGCATTCATTTTCATTGATAGAATGAATGTTGTTCATGGGTTATCAAGACATCATATATAATTTGACTTTCTTTATCAGACGTCATAAATTCCAAACTCTCAAATGGACAATTTCATAATGCAAAAACAAAACACAAAACAACCCACAAACAGTAACTTCAGTTATTTGGTGAGGGTAATATTAATCTATTAATACTTTTTTTGTCTGTAGTTCACCTTTGCCAGAGGAAAATGCTATGCTGAAGGATATGACAACTTTGGGACAAAGAGTGAGGGCTTATGAAGTATATAATTTTGAGAGTTAGAGAAAGCTGACCACATAAGAGTGGTTTGAGGACCACTAAATCCAGGTAGTTTTTGACAATTGACAACCTTAAAATATCATAGATCGAATTAATGATGCATATTGGCACCTTGATAAAAGTGAGTCTGGGAAAAGCATCTACTTCAGGCATCCTCAAACTACGGCCCGCGGGCCACACTCAACCCGCCAAGAACATTTATCTGGCTCGCTGGATATTTTTGCCACCGCTGCCTGTCCTGCTTAGCAGCCCACTCGTCCTGGGCCCACAGTGCGCATGTGTGGAATGTCCGCTGCACTCACCAAGGGCCCTCCAACGGTCTCAGGGACAGTGAACTAGCCCCCTTTTTAAAAAGTTTGAGGACCCCTGATCTACTTTATAAAATTAATGTTTTGGTTTGGGACTTGTCTGATTAATTTTAAGATCAAATATTCTTGCATTCATTTGGTCCGTTGCCTTTGTATTCCAACTAAAGTTGGAGGGCTTTGAATTTTATTATTCTGATACCTTCAGCAGGTTACTTATGTCTTTCAAAACTTGAGCATCACTGTAGTGATATTACTAACTCTTGTGATCTTGATAAATTATTTGACCTCTTTGTTCCTCATCTATAAAATGGGGCTAATAATAGTACTTATCTCAGGATCAATGTATTAAATGAGGTAATTCTTGCAAATCAATGAGTACACTGTCTAGCACACAGTAAGCATTCAATAAATGTTAGCTGTTTTATTGTAGTTATTGTTGGTGGAAAAATTAAGCTGTTGAGTTAATGTGCATGAAAGTATCTTCATAGATTGTCAGATTTATCAGATGAAATCAACATGCAGACTATTTTTGGAGGCATAACTTTAAATACCATAGGTGTTATATGCCATGGAGATAAAAAGAAAAAAAAGGTTGAATTTAGAGCCAAGAGGAAAATATTCTGTCCTGTTATCTCAATTAATTGAAAACAGAAAGTAATACACATGTTTGTATGTACTTGGTAGGTGTTCTAGTCAGATCATCTGCACTGTTTTGGAAAGTATTGTGAATTTTTATATGCTTGAAAGGAAATTAATTTTTTCTTTACAGAATGTAACAAAGGACATCTTTATTGTTAAAGTTCAGCTTTAGTGGAAATTCATTTTACTTGTATTTGGATGAAAAAATATGAATTGCTAGGGAAGATCCCAGTGAGGTGGAGGAAATGTGTGTGATTTAACGGAAAATTATTCAGTTGAAACCCTCATGCATTGTGAAGATTTTCTAGCTGTTCATCTTGTGAAAATTAGAGGCATCTTTTTTTCTTATGTTTTCTCTGGTCCTCTTACTCCACAAGTAGCAAACTATAATTTGGAAAAATAGAGAATGTTTTTGGAATGTGTTTGGGGAAAATCCTGGATTAAGTTGCATCAGAAAGAGTAGTATACTAAAGTGTATTTTGTTATTAACTGTGTTTTACAGGTTAAGAATCTGTAGTATTGAGAAGTTTCTTCACTATCAGCCAAGATTAACAGCCACAGCTGGATTCTTTGGGGGGTCTGCTTTGTGAAAAGAGCTTTGAAGAAGCAGAGCTTGCGCCATAAAAAGGAAACGGTTGCTCTTCTAG